TTTATTATAATACTTATTCAGGATGCTCAGATGCAAATAAGGATTTCTAAATGAGTATGATGCCTTAAAAAAATGAGCAATATAACTACGCTAATAGAAACTTGGATAAGTATATCGATGACTACTTCAAACAATGTACATCCTTCTTCTACCTCTTCACTCATCTTGTGTAGCCTTTGGTTCTTGTGTGCCGCTCCTCCTGTATGTCACGCAGGTCAGTCAGATACGGGTGCTCACACAGTCACATACTGCAACTTGTGCAGTTGTGCAGAGGTTTTTAATCCAGTCGTCATCTACCGAATATCCAAAGAAGTTTGTTGCTCTTCTCCACCGAAACTTTAGTTGTCTGTCTGTCTTATGACCTTTCTATGAAGCAAGTATTTTACCAAAGCAAGCTGTTTACCAAGCTTTGAGTCTGAACTCATTCACAGCTTCAAATGTTGTCTCATATGTAAGGCTGTTACTCAGAATTACTTGGCTGGCTGTTGCGCTTCATCTGGCTTTTCTTTAGCAGGAGATCGGTTACAGCAGGTAACCTGTCTGTCGATGCATCGTTTGGGTCATGGTTAAAGTTTACATGTCATCTTCACTGTTTTTCTAGCCGATGACATGTACATAGACTTTAGCTTATACTTGATGTATAAGTATGTATACAAGTAAGCTTATACTTCATGTATAACTTGATGTTTTCAGATGAATCAGTTCTGACATCTGTATGACTTGTTTGCTGTAAGTAGTCTGCTGTGAGGGGCCTTTTCCTGCTGGATTAGGAAACAGACTGATTAATGCAGACCGTGTGAGTGTTGCATTTTCTTAGTCTGCATGTTCAGGACTTGCTGCCTTCTGGACTGTTACTCTTGCCCCTTCCTGTTGTGCAAGTGGTGAAATCTTTGGGGATTAACAAAGCATTAAGCATTAGATATTCTAGATTGCCCCAGCCTGAAATGAATAATAAGTTCGTTCTGCTCTTGAGAACTGTTACTTTGCTTTCTTTTCTTTATGGCTGCCAAAAACCTAGGGACACTGTGTAAGCAGTGCTAGCTGTCTTTTTAAGTAGAAGGAAGTAAGAGATGTCCCAAATGTGGAATAATGCCAACATCCTAAGTGCATGAAGGTGGGGGGGGGTGTTAAAAAAAAAGTACTGGGCAATTTAGGTAGAAACGTGGCTCTCTACTGATAGCAACTGCATCTTTAAAAATGGAACATAGGCTCTTGGTTTTCTCAGTCATTGAATTGGGGGGGTTATGATGGGGGGATGTTGAGATAATTAATTGTATCCTCATGCAAGAAGTAGCTCCTATTTGTGGGCATAAAGTGGGTAGCTCCAGGACTATAAACAGACTTAAGGTAGGGCTAAACAGCGTGGTAGTGGCTAATAGCACAAAGTACAGTTGGATGACAAGCGCTCTCATGGTCTCAGCAGTTCATGGTGCATTGGAAAGATGATCTACACCTGTCACAAGTCTGTCTTGATTTTATTCTTTTTTTTCTTTTATTTTTCCTTTTCTGCTATTTGCCAAACTGTCACAAACCAACGAAGAGAAGAATCACTTTGTGGCCTGGCTTTAGGGCAGTGCTTTTAGGCTAGATCTAAAAAATAACTTAAGTTCTACGTACGTCATCACACAAACACTGATTACTTTTGCTCTTAAATCTTTTGAATATTCACGTGGAGGGATTTTCAGAGGTCGAGCTCTACAGTCATTCTCTTAGCATGTCAGAACTAGCTTTTCTCTTTCCAGTAGAAGGCAGCCCTAGCTCCTCCCTGAGCTGCTTCAGCTCACTGACCTTGCAAGAAGACAGACTTTTGCTGAACTGGCTCTTCGGCATGTGACAGGTTTCAAAGCCGGCTTGAGGAAGGGGCAGAGTAGGACACTGCTCCTTTTCGCAGCAGCAAGGCCATGCGCAGGATGCTCTAGGCAGGAGCTCACCTGCAAGCAACTGACGGTAAAATTCATTTTATTAATACAATGTTATACACTCAAAGTGAAAGTGATACACGCGGGACACTGATCTCCCATTCATTTATTCACATTTTCCATGGATTTTTGTACACTTCCTCAATGTATTACAACTAATGAAAACATTGTTACATGACAAGTTATGTGAAACTTAAGTATCCACTGAAAAATTCAGAGCAGTTTGAAATCTATTAACAATTAACAAATCGTCACATTCAGCATTTTCATTGGATTTATACTAGCTCATGCCACTTTAAATTGTTTAATGTCAGTTAATTTCTGCACACAGGCACCAGCTACAAAATTTTAGCAAATGCAAATAAGTTAAGGCATCAGAAAGAAAGTCTTTAAGGACATTTTAAACATTACAGTGCTGCAAAGGGAGCTGAACTGAAGTTCTGAGTAGTAAAGCGTACCTCCTAAGTGGTTTACGTTCTACAACATGATCATTTGAAGTGTAAATTTAATTTAAACTTCAACATCCATCAACCGAAAGGGATTATAGGAACACGCCGTTGTGCTCCCAAATGAGTAATTTTAAGTACATTACAAAAAAAACCCTGCATATAGCAATTTAATATTTTATTTTAAAATTCAAACCAGCTGTAATCATCTCCCTTACAGATGATTCTGATAATTAAAAGCAGCAGAGATCTTGATTTTCTATTTTGGGGAGGTGAGAGGGAAAGGAAAGATTTCTAAGCAGCTGACACTTCAAAATTACAGCAGAAGGAAGAACGCATGATCCATAAGACACTCCAACACCTATGTACAGCTGAAATACTGAAGGCATTATCTCAAATTAGGGAGGAAACTTGCATCTTTAACATCAGGTATCTGATATCCAGCTATTAAATATATTAAGTATTGACCAAGATTTCACTGAGTTGGAATTCTGATCAAAATCCCTTCCTTATATAGCATGTGCCACTTTGTTATGAAGGCATTAATATGTTGATTTCTATGCTCTCCACTAACTTTTGCTTTTAACACATTTTTAGGCCTTTATTTCTAAGTAATAATCTCTGGCCTTCTACAGTATTTATGTATTTTAGCATTTCTTAACTAGAAACTGAAGCATCATCAAAAATTTGTTTTTATGACAGTACTGGAGAAGGGTTGTGCTTTATAACTGAACACCAAGTGAAAAGCACATGACTGACTTTTCCTGCTTCATAGTCCAGATAATTGCAGGGTCACTATGAATGATGTTGATTAAAATCTCTAATTTGCAGTAAAATTCTTCCCTGTTCTTTTAGTGGCAACTTTCCCTGTGTAAAATGTTTAAAATCGTATGTTTATGCATGTATTTGACATTCTAATAAATAGGAGATTCCAATAACATACCTTCCCCTAGCTTTACTGATAAATACTTAGGTTGCTAAAGAATTAAGGTGTCTCATCTCAATTAGTCTTTCCCACAGCTAATAGAAGATATTACTTGCTACTATGGATATTGTAAGGTTTAATTTTTCCAACACAATTTATTATTATTCTAGTTATTTTTCCTTACACTCTGTGCTCACCCTCAGAATGTCCACCCTTGAAAACATGACAGAGACGCACTAGCCGATATTCAGTTTGCCCGCTTTAGAACTGGGCTGAGTAAGCGCGTGCAAAACCCCAAGACTGCCTCACTTCAGAGGCAAATCGTAAGGACACATGTAAGGAAGTTCAGTTTGTCTCTCACTTGTTTAAGTTAATTGGTCCACATTTCAATGGATGAAGAAACAGTACCCATGAGCTTTCGGAAGTAAACAAACACAAACCCAAGACCACTGATACAACCTGTACAGAGTTGCTCTTAAAGTGGGATGCGTAACAAATCTGCTTACCGCATCCAGCGCTCTCGTTTAGAAACCTTTCTGCATGGAGACATGTTTAAGACACTACAGTCGAACGACAAATGCAAAATTAACTGAGCCCTTGGGCATGAAACCTGAGCCTGTAATAAACTTTCAGGCAATGTTCTGCTGTTCATTCATACACAATTAACATGCAAGCCTTCAGCTTTTGGCCTTCAGTTTAGGTATCAGCAAGACTTTTTTTTTTTTAAAAAAAAAGCACATTAGTTTGAGGAAAGTAATGTCACTTACTTTTAATGGTTAAGTACTGAGCCAGATGAAAAAAAAAAAAAGAAAAAAAAAAGGCACCAGTTTGTATTTCAAACAATCTAAGCTTCCTTGACATTTGAATGTTAAAAATGCAATTCCTCAGTGTAGCTGAAATGTGAGCAAAGGCCTTTGTTTTTGAACTTTGGTCAAGAGGGCTATAGATCCTATGAAGTTTTTCCTCCTTTTAGTTAAGAGGGGAAAAAAAGGCCATAACCTGAATTGTGCAGTGAATGAGGACTAAAGGCAGCTGTTTGTCCCCCCGCAGAGAGGAGCAGGCAAAATGTGCTGCATCTAATCAAATGGTGCTCCTACTTCTTCCCCACCCATAGGATGCCACTGTTGTGGATTTCCAGGTCCCCTGTGAGAACTGCATCATGCTGCTTTTTTTTTAAAGACTGGGATTTTTTTCCTCTGTGCTGCATTAGCCAGAGACAGGTTGGCATGTTTCTTCCATCTCCCCAGAGCTGGTCAGTGTGACAGATCAGAGAGCAGTTCAAGTTTAATATTAAGATCTAGCTCTTGGACAGTTTCCAGAGCTGGAAGTGAAGCAGAAAAACAATTATAAGGGAAGGAGTTTTCAGCAAACAAGATTTGAAAAGGATTAAATAACCAAACAAGGTCTGATAAAGTTGAGATGGAAACTGAGAACAGAACAATGTTCTGATCCACAAATTATTGCCACGTGGTTATTTTAACACAGCTGAAAACTAAGTTATAGATTAACCCAGTGCTCCCTACTTTTGCGACAGGAAGCTTGTCCTAAAGCTGCAAACTACTGCTTTACGTAATGTAATGCAGTGAAGCACTGTAGTTATACACACAGGAAAAATAATTATTAACACACACACATTTATGCATGTATTCTTGGTAACGGCCAGAGGCAATATAAAGATCTATAAAAATCCTGAAATTTGTTTGTGAAAAGAGCTATCTTCAGAAAAGTACTAGTAGCAAGACAAGTACAACATTTACAACTCTGCCTCTGCTGGGTTTCAGTCTTAGCCCAAGGGCCTAGGGAAGAATACCTCTGAGGGACCATAATGGAAGTGCAACCCTTTGCCTCTGACTTGTCAGAAGTCAGCGACTGCCAGCTGTGGTTGTGGTCCAAGATAAACAGTCTTCCAGTTGTCTGCTTGTACTATTGCACATCATTAGCTTGTTGCTACAGTAAGAACAGAACTGACAGTTCTTCTCTAAGAAACACTACTGTCAACAAGACTACGCAAGCAAATTTTCTTTTAAATATCTGGAGATGCAGTCTCCGAGTCCCAAAAGCACACGAGTCTGTAAGAGTTAAAACACAGTACAATATACAGTATTGTTGTTGGGGTACATTGTTGTCACCGACAGTTTGAAAAATTAGTCTCACCGGAATATGACAGACCAATTAAAATTAAAAATCTGGAGTCTAGAAACAGTTTCAACAGTTAAACTTCAACATCCTCCCTTCTCAAAACAGGAGGTTGTTGCATTGCACCGCAGTCTGTGAGGAAGCTCTGGTACCATATTTTTGTACTCTGATTTCAGTCCATTCAGCCAAATTGACTGGTGTTAAAAACACATGCTTTAATTTAAATCAATGTGCTTTATCCAGAAGAGGTCCTGCATTTAGATATTGAAAAATGAGGGAGCACAGTCCAACACTTGTGTTCTATTAAAGCTTTTATTAGCTAGTTTAGCTTTTCCTCACAGAATTTTTCCAGAATTCCTATAACAGTTCTTAATATCAGAGTAAGGAGTTAAGTGTTCAAGTGAAGTTATGGAAGAAAAAAAGAGCAGCAGCAGTTTGGCAATAATTCCTCAGATCACTGACTGCAACTTATTTAAGCCTCCTTTTTCTCCAGTAAGATTTTGTGCAACTCATCTGCATCCTCACTTGTTTTCACCCTTATTAACATAGTGACAGGAACAGCTGGATTCTTCTCATCAATCGGTGGATTAGGAACACAAACTATAAGAACATTGTTTTTTCCCGTTCTTGTGCATGGCATCTTGGGTGGGATTAGAACATTCAACAGTATGTTTCCTGCGTATGAGGAGGAAAAAAATTACAATTAGCAATTTTTCAGCTTTTACTGCAATACAGATGTTAGTATACTTACTAAATGGGGATTTAAGTTTGTGTTTGGAAGGAAGGCAATTCACAAATGTCATATATACTTGTCTTATGCTTCCCTAAGCATCTGCTCACGGCCACTGTTCTCACAGACTTCTTTCCTCATTACGAATGAGGAAATCTCTGAAAATACTGTCTCCTCCTTTTTTAAAGGGAGGAGTCTGAAGAGTATCAAGTTATAGTAGGGACACGCAGGAAAAAGGGAAGGGGACAAGGGAGAAGCAGCAAATGAGGACTCAAGTCACAGCGCTTAGTTTATGCTTACGCAAGTTACTCATTCTGACCATCAAGCACAGTTCATAAGCAGAAGCAAAAAGTTAGCTTTAACACACGTACAGACACGTTAATCTAAAATTGGACAAACTATGGTAGAGTAAGTACCTCGCTTCCTCACATCGTACAACACATCTGATGTGGTCTACCATCGGGTTACTAGTAACAGCTCTATGTCAGCTTTTTAAATTATGTAGTGAGTTTGACAGCTTCAATATTAGTGGTCTATTAAAACAGTTGCAAACAAACTCAGATCTGCTTCCACGGAAGATGCACACGTTTTGTAAACCTGGTAAATAGTTCAGAACACGGTAGTAGTATTTAGGGAAAAGTCAGTCTTCGCCTTCCTTTCCAGTTCAGTTTTTCAACACAGTGAGATTTTAGGAAAGGATTATAGCACTGTGTGAAGATAGCAAAAAGGAAAGTGTGCATCACTATGACTGCAGCAGCTTCTAGAAACCAATGCTTGGAAACACCAAGCTGAAAAGTCTTAGTGTATGAGCTGAAGAAAAAGCAAAGATATCCTAATACATCACCTCAAATGAAGGTAGAGGGAATGTAAATCAACATCATGAAAATCAGCATCAGCTGAGTGAAAATCAAGACTTGTGTTAAAGAGTAGGTAACTTGGAGAAATCAAGTTTTCGTCTGCTCTATTCCACACATTCAAATCCCCGAGGAAATGCAGAAAGCACTGACAACTCTAACATACATCTGCCTTCAGTTTAACGGCTAAGAACTGCCCTTTATCTAGCAAACTTTGTCTCCACTGAAAGAAGTTAATGATTTAGACGTGACTAACACAGGAGTCCCAATCTCACCAGGTATTTGAAAACTGCCCCTAATGGGCCTGCAGAGGCTTCATATAGACTTGCTAGGGTGCATTATAAACTGAAAGCCAGGTGAGATTTACCAATGGCCTACAGTGCAGCATGGCTTTAGTCCTCAGGTCTTCTATAAGCATAATATTTATTCTATTTTATGGAAGTTGTCAAGTGCAAAATAGATTTGCACAGTTTGAATGTGTAAACACTCTTCGGCCAGAACATTGCACCAAGTTGTCAAGTGCAAAACATTGATTCGCACAGTTTGAGTGTGTAAACACTCTTCAGCCAGAACATTGCACCTTAAACACTTTAATACATCAAGTCCCCCTATCTTCTACAAGCAAAGAAATGGTTGGGTTTTTTTTTTTCTTTAATTAGCTGTATGTGTTAATGTTCATCTCAAAAGATATTCTGAGGAACTATCACACCACAGGTTACTCTCATTCTGTAGAGTCCACCTACCATTTGTGATCCAACTAAAATTAGCTAAAACACAGTTGGACTTCAGCATGCATTTTAAGAGCAATGCATATAGCAAAATCCTGCAGACCTGATCTACGTAACGCTCCCCTTTACCCTGAAATACAATGGATGTCTGCCCACATGGTCAACTATTTACATATTCAGGATGAATTGCAGACGACGATAATTGGCCTGCATCTTACCACAAAATTTGTTCCCCTTCATTCATCACACCTGATACATGTATATCATTGTGGATCTTAAGCCACGCTTCAGTCACTCAAGTCAGGGATGGAGAAAAGCTATTAAAAAGGGGGAAGGGGGGAGGCATACCCCAACATACACCATAACCTTTTACTTCCTTGCACTGCTTCACGTGCACTATTTTGTAGTACTCCTTAGAGGCACAATTGCTTGTTCAATACTTGAAATTATTAAAAAAAAAAGTGGAAAGGTTTTCACTAATCGTGTCTGTTATGCTGTGTAACAAAAAAATCCTAATGTTTAGCAAGGAATTTCACATCAAGACTTGCTACTAGAAGAAATTTACTTACCTAAATTGGTATCCGCTCGGACTAGGAGTTGAGTTTTTTCATTTCCTGCTGGTTTTAAGTGTAATGTTCCTACGCCTTTTTCTTTAAATTCATTATCCTTTTTGTAAAACAGTTTGCACCTGTGGGGGGAAAAAAACCACAAACACAAAAACCCACAACTTGTTTGTGCAGATATGTAGAGATTAAATACAAAGATATCTCCCAAATACACACACCTACATATATGTATACATCTGACTCATGGTAAGCCAACATTTTAATAATAATCAGGAGTTAACATGCTGTGAGTAGCGTAAATCTTTATTCTTCTTGACCTTGTTTCATGTGCTAACAGATAGTACTTCCAGTTCAGAAAGAGAAAGAATTAATTAATTCTTTCTTTCAGTATCAAAATGACAAACATATTACTTTCAGGGAAAAGTAAAATGCACAGCAACCTGTACTCAGTGTCTATAAGGAGTAATAACTGTACGCTACTGTTAAAAAACACTGATTACAAAAACGTAAGAATTTGTTGTGTCATTCTGAGGTTATAATGGGACTTTTATGTAAAATTTAAAAACATTTTAAAGTGAGGCTCTAATAAACCTAATGCCATTCTTCATAAATTAGCATGTACCTTCTCTCAGATAAAGCAAATGACTTTTCGTAGAAGGACGAATTGTGTGCTAAGTGTTAAGCAGACGTGCAATTACTTGGACTACTGAACATGCTTTGAAAAACTGCTTCTAGTAGAGGTAGTCTCACTTTGAACTTAAAAGTACAACTTGTTCACTCCTTCATACAACAATCAGCATTTTCCAACTGAAGAGTCTTATTTCAGGCTACGCAAATAGCTGAGCACCTGACTGATTTTTCAGAAGTACAGTACATTATTTCTGTGATACAAGCCCTACAATTTAAACTTACAAAACCTGGTGAAGGCAAAAACATCATCTTCAGTTGGAAAAAAACCTGATCACAAGTAGAACACAAACTCGCTATCAGTGCTGTGTCCAAGATACACAAGAATTTTAGTAAGATCTTACACATTTTTGTCTGTAATTAACTTCTTTGCAAGTGGAACGTCATGTTCTACATGGCTTCCTAACAAGCTTTATTAACTAGGAAGTCAAGAACACATACGTCATTAATTATGCACTGCAGTGGTAAAGAATAGCAGCATGTAGGTATGAATTTTATTCTCAAAGTTACAATTCTATTCACTATCCCAAGTTAAAGTCACTTACTTCTTTGAGTAGAAGGCATCATCCTCTTTTATTTCATTAACAATGACTTTTGGTGGCTCTTCTTCCTCCTCTTCTCCTTCAAATAAAAAGTTTTAATACATTAATGTTGTGAGCATGTAATCTGGAAGGTATTTTTGGCATTGTGTTAGAACTAGTTTACGCATGCTATATTTGACATATACATCAAACATGTGGCCTGTCATGATTTAAAGGTTTTTTAGCAATCAATGTGGGCTCTGAAGCAGCTTCAGCTACAGACAAAAAGTCTTATTTTCTTTTCATACAGCCACACCCCTCAAGCAACATTATGCTTTTTTTCAGTTTAAATGGGATGAAAACACTCAACCCCCACTAAGCAATCAAAACCAAAAAATGCCAAGCTTAACAAGTCAAACTTAAGTCAAAACCTTCTGTCAGGGGAAAACAGTCACAACGTTTCAAAGAATAGTCTCCACAAATGGGTCCAAGTAAAGCATAATAAATACTTCCAACAGCCAAGTTTAATTTGGGGGACAGGTAATCGGTTGCAGGAATGACAGCCAAGAGACAGTGGCAGGATTATGCCTTTCCAGTCCCTCAACTGCTAGGATTTCTATCGGCTTACTCTACCCAGCTTAGCTAAATAGCAGAGTAAAACTGTCAGGTAATATGCAACGTTATTGGCCTTACAGTCTTGTAGGAAAGATGTACGAAATTGTTCCATATCTTACGCATTTTACTGAGGGATCTCTTGATAAACCTATTGGGAAAAGCAGCAGGATTGAAATGTCCCGCAGGCTCAAAGATGAACATACCAGTTGCTTTAGATTTCATCATTGCAAGTTTTGTATTCAGCTAAAGAATTATATTCTATTACAGAAAGTATAAATCTGACAGAAAGTATAAATCTGACAAATACATAGGTTTTGATAACCATACACTTTTAGTTATACTTAAACAGTATGTGAGACTGAGATATTTCCAAATTAGTGGTACAGTTTTGCACTTTCAAATTCAAGAACAATTATGATCTAGTTCAACTTAAGAATACTGCAAAGATGAAATACTACTAAGTCACATACATTCACAGCTTACCATTAAAATAATCGTTTTATAGAGAATTTACCTTTATCATCGCTACTGCCACTTTCTGTCTGAGCTTCCAATACATTGGTGGATGCTGCAGTGACAGACTTAGCCTGGTTTGCGTCTTTTCCAAACAAACCTGAATTCCCAGGAGAAAACGAGAAACTACTAAGCGTTCCTGAGCCAAGGGAACCCAAAACAGAACTGTCGACACTCTTGCCAAAATTAAATGAGACGGTTGATGTAGCTCCTAACGATGGGTCTTTTTTTTCGGATGCAGCTTCAGGTTTTTTGTCCGAGGTATCCTCAGTTTTGTTGTTGTTAAACAAAAAAGTTGATCCTTGCTGTAGCTTTGAATTACCAAATGTAGAAACAGACTGAGAGCCAGGTGTCTTGTTGCTTTCATTTTCAGAGCCACTATCACTACTGCTTCCGTGTTGCTGTTCAATATTTGCTAAATACTTCTCATAGTCTCTAAAGATGGGTGTCAGGTCACATAGCGGGTTTGTGTTTACATGCTTAACTATCCAGTCACGCACAGAACAGTTTAAAGCTGCTAACTGTTTGTGGTAAACACTAGAGCTACAAACTTTACTCTGAGCATAGCCAGATGAGGACGGTTGACTGCCACCATTCACTTTTGGGCTTGCAGCCTTTTTCTCAGTAAATGCAGTAGTAGTAGGACCATTTGACATTGTGGATCCTATTAGAAAAAAAACATGGTTTAGAACTTTTTTTTTTCCCAGAAAGCACAGTTCTCGTAAAAACCTAAACTAAATGTTCTCAATATTTATCAAATCACTCATTGTTGCTCAGTTAGGCGTCTTGTCTTTTATCACAAGACCGTGTACCAGATACTGTGCTACAAGTAAACAGACACTGGTATCGGAACAGAAACGGACCTAAGCTCACTACGTTTAGACAAGTTAGCTCAGGGATAGACAAAGTAGATGGAGCATGTAGTTGTATAAAAAAAAAATCCAAAGAAATCTTACAGAATAACATTAAAAGAAATAGAAGTTTCGTATTTCACCAAGACCCCCAAAATCTTAATAGCTGTAACAGCTATTAAAACAAAATATTCAGTTACCTCTTGCTACTTGTGCTTTAAAAAACTCTGAACACAGTAGCCCATGTTTTTGCGTGTTTTTGAGTGGTTTCCGGATAAAAACCGTAATAAGCAAATTAAGAAAATCCTCATTAAATATTTAAGTTTCTCCTAATTTAGTTAAGCTAACTGAAACCTAAGTTACTCTAAACTTCAAACTCCACCATTTCTATTCTGTCGCGTGCTGACTCTAAAACACTATGGCATGGTTAATGCTTTTGCATCTCCAACACAAAGGGATAGAACTAATATTCTCCAGGGACTACCAAAGCATGAGACTAGACTTAGATTTGACAAAATATTTCAAATGTCTTAAAATGTAGGTATAAATTGTAAAAGATAAAATTCTAGTAAGACTGTTTGCAATGTAAGATGTACAGGGAAAAAAGGTTAAGACTTTAGATATGCAGCATATATTTACCAAGAACTGCAAAAAATACAGAAACAAGACCTTAAAAAAAACAACAACAAAAAACCAACCAACCAAACAAAACCAACAAAACAAAAACACGAAGAAACTGCAGTCCTACTAAATGTCCATTTTCCATTAGCGTTTTTTTTTTTTTTTTAAATTAAATTCAGGTAATTGGGACAATTATTTAACTGGAACACGTTATCAGCTGTTTCATACTATTTGGAGAGTGTCTTATGCCAATGTCTTCCATTTCTATTTGTGCCTATAAAGCTTTTACCTCCAGTATTAGACCAAACACAAATTTAGTTTCTACTTCTTAAAACTGCATGCATTTGATAACTTGTCCCTCCAGCAGTCGAAAATCTTTTTAAGAAATCTTACAAAGACGAATAAAGTCTCAAAACCTTCAAACAGAACTACAGGGTTGTTTGAATTTGATTTTATGGCTGAATTTGTTGATACGTGTGCTTATTTGCAACTTACCAAATGCTGATTGTGTTTCAGAGGTGGTCTTCAAACTGCTGAAAGAAGGAGTGCTAGAGACACTACTGCTTCCATTAGATAGCCCTTCTAAAGGCTTTATTCCTGCACCATTACCAAATCCGCTGAAGCCACCTCCTCCTTTTCCAGAAGGCAATATAAAGCCTTTAAACCCTTTAAAAGCTCCTCCACTTTCAGACTGAGGAGAAAAAAAAAAGGGGCGGGGGGGAGGGGAAGAGACAACCAGTTACATACATCTTCTCCACAAAAATCCTATCCCCGCTTAATATTCCACTTACTTTACCCTGGTTCAGTGTGTCATTTCATGCATTATTCTATATCAGCTATGTAAACAAAAGTTAATAGCTTCCTTATGACACATATAGCTACTACTTTTAAAGGACTCAGATGTTCGGTACGAAAATAAACTAGATCTAGGAAGTGGATACATAAAAGTTGTTCAGAGCAGCAGATGTGTTTGACTACCTATTTAGACATTCATAGCATCTTGTTTTCTTTAAATAATTACATAGTAATATATAATTGCAGGCTTATTTTCAGCAACTTTTAGCATTTACAACCGCAGTTAGAATCCAGCACTTCAAGGCACTCATCAAAACAGCATACTTTGTAGTCACCTATGTAACATTTAAGTGATTTACTCAAAATATTCCAATGTGACTAATGGGAGAAGCAAAGATAGACTGTACTTGATAACATAATATTTATGCTTTCTGTAGCCTTTTCATTACCTAGTTCTGAACACTATCTTTACAACCATATTATTTTATGGTATAGTTTCTTACATGTTTTTAAAAGATATAGCGTGATTAACACGCAAATAGGCACTGCCACTTTTAGGTACTACATATAATGTCTTTCGAGGTAATGAGCACTTATTACTGGAAGTGGACTTTCAGTGTCTCTGGAACACCATCAGAGGAAAAGGAGAATTGCTTCTGAGTTTCATCTCCTTTTGCCACTGAAGAAATAACAAAACTTACCAATTTTAGATTCTATTCCAGTATCTGGCCTTGTGGGTATGGGCTCTTTTTGTTTCCCTTTGTGCTCTACCTTTTTCAGTTCAGTCCTCTGTTTCTCATTTTTAGGCAGCTATTTTTAGTCTGTCTCTCTTTGATCAGTCCTACCTGCCTCTCTATCTGGACATTCAAGTTAAACTGCAGTCTTTTTCTTTGTAGCATTCTGCTTGCTCCATTTAGGAACATCTATAAATTTCAAATTTACCTTTTTGTAAATATTTCACAGGTTTCTTATGTAACCTCAGCTGTCCTGCCACCTCTTCTGCTTTTTAGACTTTGCCCAGCCTTCTATCCTAGCTCTTCTTCCAGCTTGGATCTCTAACAGCTGACTCCCAGCCTCCTCACTATTTCTTCTGCAATCACCTGGTCCCCTTTCTCAGCCAGTTCTATTTTTCCCATTCCATCTGCCCCGGAGTCTCTCCTGTTCAAGTTGTGGTTTATTTCTTGCACCACCTCTTCCCAGTACAATCCTTTAATTAACTGCGTTCTCTACCACATTTGTGGTTAAAACTACTATCGGCCAAAGTGGGATAGGACAGCTTCTTCATTTACATTGTTTGGACGGCAGAAGGAAAATCAAAAGCACAGGAGAAAACGATCTAGCCCCTAATTGTGCATAGTCCCATTCAATCCAAAAGCAATTTGAGTGATAGGTGAAGTTTCTGTCCTATTTCTAACACGGCGCATGCCCTGTTGAAAGAATGTTTCATAGAAAGATATGTACGACAAAGCACCTGTCAGGGATTTTTGAAAGGACTACAGTTTGGTTGGACTGGGTTAATGCTTTCACAGGGACTAAATCTGTAACAAAGGCCAACTTCCTTTCAATTTTCAATTTGTTACTGCAAAGAGTAGGTGGCACTAAAGTGCTTCACAGGGGAAAAAAAAAAAGTAGCAGCATTCTTAACAAAAGACATCTTTTTCATTCTCAGATCAGCTTAATATTTTGGCTTTTCCTTATTTAGCATCTGCCTGAGACATCCCCCAGCCCTCCAGTATGGGTAACTAATAACTTTTGATTTCCAGGCTTCCATCTCTGCAAAGAATGAAACTGGAGCAGTTCAAATGCTATTGTACCCATCTGTAGAAGACACTGTGTCTGAAACATTCTGCATTTATACTTCAAAAATACACATCTTTCTTGACCCACTCAATACTAGTATTACCCATTTTTCGTTCTAGTCTTATTCTTGCTATGGAACAGTAAGCAAAAATTAATTTGCATGTATGAGCTGACTAGTTGCATATACCTTCTAAATGATAGCTTTATACAGTATTATTACAAGCTCAAATAAATAAAAACCTGAGCATGGATGTCATATTTTGCAACCGAGTCAAACTACAACACTAATGCTCAGCGATTGCATTACCTCTGATCCAACATTTCGGCGCTTTGCTTTTTTAATAGCTCTGTTCTTCAGGACTTCTTCACTAGCTACTGAGAATGTTCCCACCTTTAAGAAGTAGTTATGGAATCATTAGTGAAATTCTCAGAATGCATAAAGTTATCATATTCTCAAGAGATGGCTGAGATCAGCTTTTGAACACAACTGTAACACTTCTCCCTAACAAATAAGAGAAGGAGTAAAAAAAAAAAAAAACCCAGAAAACATAGTGCTGTGATTAGCTTGCCAGCTACTTGGACAATTAGTTGACACTTTCAAAACTCTTTCTTGTTCTGCATTACATTTCCCTTCGTGCAATCTCAATTTTATTATGACAAATAAGTCAAACAACATTTTTTTTTATTGCACCGTTACAAACAATCTTCAGTTTGGAGAAGGTATATTGAGATGTATGCTGTAAGTCAGTCTCCTACAGTCTGCTGTAGTTCAAGTATTAGCAAAGACAGCTAATAACTAATTACTACCCTGTAATAAATGAGGAAATTAAGTTTTCTTACATTCAAATTTATGGAAGAGTACTGTCAGTTTTCTTTCTCACATTTTATAGGCCTAAACATTTAATACTTTTAGTACACAGAAGCTAGCACAGTTTGTTTAGAGACAATACATGAGCCATAAGTAAGCATGAGACACTAAACATGAAAATCTCTTTTTACAATCAGATGAAATGTATCATTTGACTGTTTGCTTCATTCTTCTGGCTGTGTAGGGACATTCAGCTAAGCACTCTAAATTAACATATTTCTGAAATTAACTATTACTGACCTTTAAAAAAAAAAGACATGAGACATGAAGGAAATTTATCTCAAGAAATCAAAACCACTTTTCTTGTGAACTCAATAAATACCCATCACACATTTGAAGAGTTCAAAAGCATTATGCATTTTAACAAGCCTATGGTTCCCTTTAGAAATGTAAAGTTCCTTTCCCCTGAGCTGCTGATGTCATTTTAACTGTTAAAAGCTGCTTTGCCATATGGTCTGCATATATTGGAAGCTTTATAAAAAAAATCCTTTATATAAAATTATCTTTAATTGTTACACTTTTAACCAATTTTACTCACAAGATTTCACTCACAAGATAAATAGCATATGTAAATAACTAGCCTACTACCTGCAGGGTTGGGGGGTGGGGGGAATCTAATGTATTTCTTACTTCCTCAGCTTCATCCTCCTGATCCCAGTTTCTGTCAGTCAGTTCCTTCTCTGCAATTCTCTTTGCCATTTTTCCACACCTGGGGCGGGGAGGAGGGAATGCATAGAATCAATTGAACAGAAATTAAATTCTAAGCAACAGTGATCTTCAATTTGTATTACTTAGAACAAATAATGGGAATCAGAGTTCATATAGAAGTACGTAAAAATTGGAATGACAGTTGAAAACCAAGTGTTTCTAACAACTGTTGTGGCAACAACAATCAACAGCACTTGAGATTAAAGTTGTGGTGATAAGCCATATTTGATCTTAAATTTAAGGAACAATAGAAACACGTAGTTCTATTATGGGATAAGTTTTTTTTATAGCAGCAATGCTGGCTAGAGAAATCCCTTTCAGTCCCACAACCTGGTCACCACTTACTCTGAAGGGCTGCAAAAAATGAAAAGTATGGAGAAAAGATCTGGTTAAAACATTCCATATTCCACTCCATCTTGCCTCAGGATACCCATGTAAGCAGCAAGAGAAAAGTAAATTGCTTAAGCATCTAAAATAAATACCGATGAGGACCTACTGAAGCAACTGGACAGAAAGCTAGGGTAAGAATGAAGACAATGCTCTCGTACAAAAAACAGGATTGGAAGAATATTACTAATTAGAAGTTTCAAAAATTCTATTACAAATAAATCGGATTATTTTTCCTCAAAAGGACACATAAAGCGTATCATGGATTTGAGAGCAATTACTGTAAGCAGCCAATCATCATTTTGCTAGTTATCTCTGCAATGTAAAGGAGAATCAACTTTGGAGAAGGAGTGTCTGTAATAGTTCTAACTTCTGATTTCCATTTTACTAAAGTACAACTTACCAGCTGTAAACAAAAAAAAAGAATGAATCCAGCTATGATATTTTGTATCTGAAAGACTTCGCAAGCAATCACATTACTCAAATTTTATATGAAAAAAAGTTTTTTTACTAACTATGATTATATCATCTGACACCAAATATAAAAACTTTTCAAAGAAAAGATATAGTTTTGTAGCACTTTAAGTCCCAAGCGAGCACAAAATTAAAACTCTTCAAAAAACTCTCTTAGGTTTGTGATTAAGACCTGTCCAGATAAAAAAAAAATTCCACAGATAGTTGAATTTCAGAGCCAAAAATGATAACAATACATGGTTACAGAACATCTTGTTTAGCTGATGAAATATTTTTAAACAGAACAGTAAATCCAGCTGCACAGTTTTACAGAGATCACACGTCAAAGCCATGAATTTTGGTCTGACACACTTCACAAATAAGGTCAAGTTATTAGGATCTTTTGGAAGTACAGTGACAAAAGATTGTTTTGTGTAAACACTTTAAAACGCCCTAATCCACACCATCCTGAAAGTAGAGGTCCTGCCAAGCCCTGCTTAATTCTCTGCAGACTGGGGAACTATTTAAATCTAACCCATTGGAAAACAAACAAACAAACTTTTTATAAAGTCATATTGGCTCCCCAGTCCAGTTTTCCACAAGGGTATACAGACACTTGCAACCAGAGGAAGACAAGATTGCATCTGTTTGGCTGCAGCCAGAGCTCAAAGACTGGTAAGACCTAGAATTACACCATCGGATTCCACGGAAGATCAAATTACCACTCTTAACCCAACCACGGAAGCATGACAAGCACGACATTAACTAGAAAGCCTGTTCTCCACTAATAGAAGAGGGGTAAACCTGTTGGCCTTGGCTCCAGGTTCTTTGCACCTATCTGCGTTTACACGGTTTCTCTACATCAATACTAAAAACAGGAGCAGACAACAGAATCTAAGATACGCTAAGACAGGAGCAAGAGAATTCTAGACACATTCTCTAACCCGTGAAACAAGAAGCAACACAAAACCACCTCTATCTGATATTCACAACCTTCAAGAAGTTTTTGTAGCAAATGGTCTGAACAGGTTGAGATGGGAGTATTTTGAGGAACAGCTCTTTTCATTTAAAAAACCCCCACGATATAGATGTTTTGTTGAACTACTAAAATCCACCTAGCAACTACAGCTGCCCTACTTAATGCAGCATTTTGAGAACAAGACTCACTTTTAACATTTGCATTCCACAGTATCACCTATCTACCATGAGCCTACAAAACTTGCACTATTGGAGCGCCTAACCTAACACCAGGCGGCAAAAGAAGTCGCTGGTATCTCATCATACTTGCAAGGCTTAAGACGCGGGGTGCGGCGACGCGCACCTAGCGCCGCAGACACTTTTCAGTCCCGAGCTGTGTTACGGAGCAGGAACCGGCTGCGGCGTGTCAGGGTGCGCAGAGGCGGCGGAAGCCAGCCTTGCCGCCTGGCAGCTGACCCACGTTTCTCCTTTCCTGAGAAGATCTTCGGTTTCGGCGTAGGCTCTTTCGGTTTAACATAGAGAGTCCCACTCGCTTCCTTTCCAAAGGCCTAGCTGCAGTCCTCTGTAACACCTGAAGTTCCTCCCGCCCACCCCACGCACATTACAGGGGAGCTCCACGCTTTTAAAACAACTGGATGTATTTCTGGCCCCCCCACGCCCCGCGCCCCGGCCCGGTGCAGCTCGCCAAAATGCCATCGCCCACCCGCACCGCGAACCAGGCCCCACGGAGCGAACCCC